CCGCTCACATCCCCCCCTCCACCCTCCAAACCCCGCAAGAAAACATGAGGAACCCTACGCCCCGGCCTCGTCGAAGGAACATACCTCTCCGCCTTCCAGGCCCGCTCCTTCTCGGCATCATCATCCTCATTCCCATCCCCCCAAACCCCAAAAGACCCGTACCTCAAATCCAACTCCACCCCGCGATCCAGCGTCTCGGGCCCAGACCCCTCCAGAAACGCGCGGATCTTCTGCCTCAGCGCGGCGGCCTCCGGGTCGTCGTCGTCGTCCCGCTCCAGAATGCCAACGGGGTCCGGGAACATCGCGGCCAGCTTGAGATGCTCGAGGAGGTGGCGGTGCGAGCGCGCCAGGGCTCGGATCATGGCCGGACACCGGTCGAGGGTGTACGATCGCAGGAGCAAGGGCCCGCCGTAGGGGGTTGGAGATTGGGTGAGGGCGGCGAGGCGCCAGGCGAGGTCGAAGGCGTCGGCTAGGCCGCTGTTTAGACCGTATCCGCCGTGCGGGGGGGTGCGGTGGGCTGGTTTTCGTTTTGTGTTAGTTAGGAGCTTATCCTAGTATGGAGTAGGTGGTGTGAGGTGTTGGGGTTATGGAAGGTAGGTAGAAGGGGGTATATTAGAAGGTGTAGTGCAGGAAAGGTAATGTGTGTAGTCCCGAGGTATAGGTATACTTCAGCCTGGGAAGGGGAAGGGGATAGATAATCAAAACTCACCCGCATCACCCGCAAGCACGACTCGCCCACCCTCACTAAGATACGTTTCGGCGATACTGAAATTCGGGGTCCAGGCACTGTGCACTAGGATCTCGTCGATCTGGATCACCGCCTTCTGACTGGGAAGCGGGCCCCCGAGAGTCCGATACACCACGTCCTTCGGGTCGATCTCCTCCCCCTGCGGGAGCAAGTGGATAGGGAAATGCGCGGTGAAGGTATCCTTATCGTCCTGGTCGAGGATGAACCCCCCGTTCGTGGGGAAGATATGCCAACAGCGGCCGAAGGGGAACGAGCGCGCCAGTTCCTGGGAGCGGAAGTGGACGAGGTAGAAGCGCATGGGCCTGGGCTTCAAGTCAATGGGGGGATCGAGGGAGGATTGGGATTGAGGGGAGGGAGAAATGTACATCGGTCCCCCGAGCATGCGGATGCCCGCAGCGTGACGCACGCGACTGCCTCCTCCATCTGTGCCGACGAGGTAGCGACTGCGCACGCGATGCTCGACACCTGTCGCAACATCGAGGAAGGTCGTCCACACCACTCCGGTCGTCGCGTCTTCGTCGTGGTGCAGGTACTTCCATCCTAGACGGATCTGCATCGCCGCGTTGCCGGTGTTCGCTTGCGCGAGGACGAGCTTCCGGATCCATGCCTCGAAGATGACCTGCGAGCAGCGCTGGCCCGGTTCGGCGGGTTGAGTGCCGTCGTTGGTCTGGCGGATGGACTCCCGCTGCGTGACGACGGAGGGGACGGGCTTGTTTGGCGCGTGAGTTAGTGGGACTGGGGCTGAATAGGGGACAGAGACAGAGGGTGATGCGAAGTGAGTGTGTTGGGATTGAGCTTACCCAAGTGCCTAGGAGCTTGCTCTCTGGTCCGATGATCCGGGTCACGAACTGCGTGTCGAAGTCGGTGGAGACAGGCACGCTGTTTTCCTGGGCGCGGTAGTCGTCGGCCAGACCCATAACGCGCAGGATCTCCATGGAGCGACAGTTGGTCAGATCCATCTTGGGCCATTTGGTGGTCTGGGTGTTCTGATCGGCGATGAGGAAGGGGACGTTGAATTGGTTGAGGCGGTAGGCCAGAAGCATGCCGACGGGGCCAGCGCCCACGATGGTGATCGGGGTGTCGTAGTCTTCTTCCATGGTCATGGTGTTGTGTGTGATGACATGAAAAGAAGGAAAAGAAGGTGGGAAGCAGGAAGCTGGAAGCTGAAAATTGAGGGGTTCCTAAGAAACCGAGACATAAGTCAAGTGGGTGGAACTATTGATTAAGCTTCACCGATCTGACTTGATCGGCCAAAATCATTCACTGTGATCGGCACAAGGAAAAGAACTATCACACTGTCACCTCAATATTTTATGCCAAGTACGTACAGTTTCTCCAATCACAAACCAGAAGATAAGGTATATACAGCAATTGTCCCCCTCATTCCATCTGCCTCACGTCAGCATCATGACACCTTCATGTACAAACATTCTTCTCAATACGATCTCCACTCCCACCCTACGCCCTCGTATCAATCTATGATCGACTAGCCACACAGCGCATTGTTGGCCAGTCCCCCACACCTCCAGGCTTCAGCTCCCCCTGCAGCCCCACCACCACACCTTAAGCCGCATTTCCAGCCTCATTATCATGAGTGACCAGATTCACCGGCCGAGCGGGTTCGTCCGCACCACCAACCCCGATTTGATCGCGCGGAGATGCCGTCGGAACCACCGGGCGGCCAATCTGGAAAACTGTCTGCTGGGGTGGATCCCTGGACGTGGTACCAGCACCGCGTTTCCGGCCCCGACTGTGCGACAACTCTGAGTTGCGCGTCGCGGTACTATGGGTGAAGCTGATGTTTTCAATGGGAATAGGTTCTTGTTCTTGGGTCGCGCTGGTGCTGAGAGCCTGCGAAATAGTTCGGGGCAGATGGTAGCCCGCTTTAGCCAGCGGTATGGAGAGGCCGTGCACAACCTGCAGATTGGGTTAACAGAGCAGGTTTCCACGAGGAAGTAAGGCGTGGCCGGAATAAAAAGTACGACTTACAATGCTGCAGATGACCAGGAACCACACAATGACATCGACTGCCTCGGAAAGCTTCTGCGCGTCTTCCCGCACGGTGCCGTTGGCTGTAACTCCCTGCAGGAATTCCCGACACACCGACAAGTAGAAAATGGCTCCTACGCCGATGGGTCCGAAAAAGCCCACAAACCCCGCTTGGTACAGGTGCTCGATCTGGTGAATGTACTTGTGCATGGCAAATACAATCGGCATGCGACGGACGAGCAGAATCAGGATGCCCAGAAAAATCAACCGATAAATCGGAATGACACTGTTGTTGAGGAACGACGACCAGGGGCAGACGGCGCCAAACCACATGAAGACCGCCAAGTTGAGAAGCATATCGATAGTGGGCTGCAACGAGTCATCCATCGTCTCGAGTCGAAACCAGTCGCTAATCAGTCAGTACCAGCTAAACCGTCAGGAAAGTGGTCTCTTACTCTTGCGTGAACACATTACCAGCCACGAAGCAGGCAAGCAAATCATCGGTCCCAATCAATCCACAAGTACCGACAATGAACAGCTGCAACCGTAATCAGCAATGTACGCAATTCGGAACACACTCAAACCTACCGAAAGAGCGATCGCGAAAACGAGAAAACTCTCTCGATCCACGTAATGATGCTCCTCTGCCCAATGGAGCAGCTCGCGGGAGATCCATCCAACCGTGATGCCATAGACCACACTCAAGAGCACGGTATACGCCCAGGTCTCATAGAACCATAACCCTATGGCCTTCCCCGCACCACCACTGTAGGCCTCACCTCCCATCTCGACATACTTGAGCAGATACAGGCCGAAATACAGGAATGGGTACCCCAGGCCGTCATTGGCCCCGGACTCCGCGACGATGATGCGCTGCAGCGGACGGGGCACATGCTTATCGGCGAATTTCCCCTTGACGATCGAGTTGGAAAGCACCGGGTCCGTCGGGGTGATACAGGCGGCCACGACGAGGGCATGCAAGAACGGGAAATCCGGGACCATGGCCCAGATAACTAGACTGCTGCACATCCACATGGCCGCCATGCCCGGTCCCAGGAGCAGAGATAGACTCCTCCATTCCAGCTGCAGGTACCGTTTGGGGAGCTGCACCCCGGCTAGGACGAGCTGGACCCCTAGAACAAGCCGGGTGAAGTACATGGTGATTTCCCCCAGGTTCTGCTCCGACCCAAGGGCATACTCCTCGGGTCGAATGAAGTTGGCGGCATGCGGGGAGAAGATGACTCCGGCAAGCAAGGAGATTACTACGAGGTGTCAGTCTTGGGTTTGGCGCATCAAGTGTTGTCCAAGGAGCTGACGCACAGGCTTCAGATAGGTATAATCTCTCCTTGAATAAGTAGGAGACTAGTCCAAAGAGGGAGATGAATCCTCCTAACGTCGCACAGACTATGTTGAAATTGATCAACGATAGGGTAGGCATGGGTGGCAATCGGTCTCCGGATGAGAACTACCAGCTTTGAGACAATTTTGTCGCTATTTGTTCTTCTGAGCGTCTAAGTATGTAAGCGTCCACAAGCACGTGTTATTCAATCATAGCAAGAGCACTTCTAACTGCGTGGGGGTGTCCTTGGATCATTCGATCAATCGAGGATTTCGCAGCAGCCCGAACAGCGGCTGGTGGGGCAAAGCAAGCAGTGAGCGGGGTTTAGACTCGATGGCAAGAGAGGGTGCCACAGAGCAAAAAGAGGGTAAGAGTGCCAAAGCAATCAGCTCAGGGAACGAGTGAGGTCCTGATGAGGTCCTGACGAGGTCCTAAATAGATATCGTGACAAGGTAATCCGGAGTGTGGAGAGGTTAGGTTTGAGGGCCAGTTCGGTAGTGGGAGGAAAATCCCGGCCATTATTTTTTAAGGCTTGGCCAACTACCTAAGGTACGGTAACTACTAACCCGCTAACTACGGAGTACTAAACTACCTAAAGCAAACTCCCATTCCGCTTTGAGCCTAAAGTTTCCTTTAAAGTAGGCTGATGTAGGTATGCACTGACCCATCCACATCCATGATGTTTTCAGAAATCAACATTTGGGCAGCTAAGCATCCAGTGTAGTCCATTGGTATCTCTCCCTCCAGGGGTATTCTGTCGGTGTAGAAAGCTAAATACACATTGAAGGTATAACGGAGTTACTCGAATGTAACGCAAATCAAGTATCACAACATCACAACATCACAACAGCAGACCAGCTCGGAGCATTGTTCAATGCATCATTCCATCCAGGATTCAGCTGAGTAGATCCTCCATTAGAAATCGTCGTCATCGTCATTATCATCATCAAACAGATCATCCGGGATCTCTTTGGCTGCTGCTGCCATCGCCGCAGCCTTCTCGGCCACTCCACGTTGGGCGCCATTCACAGCCAGGCGGTCGGCAGCTTCGTTGCCCGGATGCGAGCTGTGGCCTTTCACCCATTCGAATAAGGTCTGGACTTTCAGCTCGTTGCGCTCGTCAATTTTGGACAAAATCGACTCGACCAGATCTTTGTTGTCCACCGGTTTGTTGCCCACTGTCATCCAATTATTCTGTCGCCATTTGCGATACCAGACTGTCACGCACTTGATGGAATACTGGCTATCTGTGAAGATGGTCACATCCCGATGGCGGGGAGCAATTTCAAGAGCTCGAAGGATTGCAGTCAATTCCGCTCGTTGGTTTGTTTGACGGCTACCCTGTAGAGGCTCGGACACATTTCTGCTGAGTGATGAAGAGTTAGTGGAACATTGCGATCTTAGCGTGTTGCGGCCGGGAGCTCGAAAGGACACAGATGATCTCTTGGTGAGTCACTAACCTTGAATCTCCTGGGCCGAAATATACGCCCACACCCGCTGAAGCCAGCGCTCTCCCGTTCTTGAGGGAACTACCGTCGGTGTAGATGCGCAACATCCCCGGGGGGCCATTCGACTTCAGCTTTGTGGCAGCCTTCTGGTCCGCAGATTTGTAGATCACTTTCCCAGTGGTGGGATCCAGAAGCACATTCGGATCAAATCCGTCCGTGGTCCCAGGAGGTAAAGGTCCGGTTCCTGGCTCATAAGCCACGCCATGCGCATCCGTCGGGACCGCGTCTGTCAGACCTGGCGCCCCCGATAACTTAGCGGCCTTTGCGAAAGTGGCGCTATTTCCTTGGTCTTCGTTCACGAATGCCTCGGCTTCCTCTCTGGTCGCAAATTTCTTGTATCGCGGCTTGGTGAACCCTTTGATCTGTTCCTGCGCCTTTGACCAGTCGGTGTAGACCCCGGGCACTCTCCCGCGCTGGACGCCGTAATATCTGGGGGGATCGGAGCTTGAGTTGTTTCCGCCGCGACCGGCGCCAACGGTGGCCCCCGTGAGAAAGGCTTTCGCATCATCGAAAGAAGAAAATGCCTGGACTGGTATGGTTGTCAGTCAGCGACCGCGCGACTAGGGTCGTTCACGACTTACAAACGGCTCCCTTGTACCCAGTTACCTGGGTCAGGCAATCGGTCCAGCTGTAGTAAACCCCCGGCTGATAGCCCGCTTTGACGGCATAGTATTTCCCTACGACATTGCGCTTGCGTTTGGTACCTGCGGTGGATGCGGAAGAATTTGTTCGGGAAGAGGTGTTTGTAGCAAGCACGGAGGTAGGGGAAGAAGTGGAACTATTCATGGCGTCCAGGCCGCCGTTCGGCAGGTTAGAGAGCGGAGTGTTTGATACAAAGAATAACACAATTTTCGAGACGGGGATGAGGTCAAAGTTCAAGTCGCTTGAAGGAGTGTGGCGGTGGGATAACTGGCGAAATTCAAATCGAGGAACGGGGATTCGCAACCTGCAGCTCAAAAGGGCACCCCTAGGTCCCTGTTTCGGAGCTACAACACAAAGCCGACAGACAGGCGTGGTGGAATAGTATCCGTTGTATGAAGGACCGGTGGGGATGAGGCTCTCTTCTGGATGTTAAAAAATGTAAATTGAGGTTGACAAAGAAGTCCGGTGAGCATTGGACGGTTGAAGGGGGGGGGATGGAGTTTCTCAACGAAGCGGGGAGGGAAAAATGGGGGTAGGAAGGGAAGGGAAGGGAGGGGGGGGGGGGGGTTGAAAGAGACAGACAGAGGAGAGGGGGGGAGGGGAGAACAGACCTGCATTAATCAACTTTCCACCCCCCCCCAGAAGCAACATCACGGGTTACTTTCTTGTATCTTCTTTTCCCTTGTAAATTTTCCCACCTGGAGAACGATCCATTTCTTATTCTTGGGGGTTCCCACTGTTCTCGTCACGGTACAATCATTGCAGTGACATATCTACTTTTGTCTGGTTCTCCAGGCACAGAGTGTGTGACTTTGACAGCGGATCGGATCTCAGCGAGCCAGTGGATCTTGGAAGCGGTTATTGTCAAAGTAATTCAGAGAAAAGGGACTCCGTCCGTCGTCTGTAAAGTAATTCCATAGCAACGCTTTTATAAGGACTCGTCGCAATTGGAAATCGCTGGATGACGACCGATGATGATGATGCGGCGGATGCGCTGATCACGTGAATAGAGGTTGTCTTCTTGCCAATTTCGGTTACTTCGTTTCTCCAACAAGTCACCAAGTAACTTACAAGCTCAAGTTCATCCATATCTTAGCTGGATATGCATCTTTGACCCACCAGCTTGTTATCGTGCATGATGAACTACGCGCATTTGATTGGCGTGTCTATTATAGCAAGCTCAAGCTGGAGTCTACCTGTTTCTTCATGCATCCTAGAACTTATGCTAATGGGCTTGCCGAACCAGGGCCATTCCTCGGTCTCCAAGGACCGTTGACCGACATCCTCCAAGACTCATTGAGGAATTAGATCTCATTATGTGCCTGCATTTACTGCTTCGATTTGCAGTACACGATAAGCAGGATTTCCCGACAACAACAGGACACATCAAGGGACTATGGCGTCGACCCTGAGCTATCTCCTCGTCCCTTCGATTAGGACAATGACGAGACGATAGACCATTGAGACACGGTGCTTCGGAACCATGTGGGTGGTCGCCAGCAGCCTAAACTAGCCAGCCCTATCTGTGAGCACGGAACAAGCTCACTAGCTCCTTATGCTTATTTCACTGAAGCCTCTACATTCGCGTGATACTATTGCGAACCTGACAGTACACGATTTGGGTCATCCGAGGCTTGTTGGTCCCTGACCCTAAGTTGATGCGACATACCTTCCGCTGACTAATGGGAATTTTGCGGTCCAACCTCCAATAACAGCGAGAGTCTTAGAGCATAGCCTATCTTTCTAACATGTGGATGCGCTCACTCCAAGAAGCGACTGAGCCGGTGGGTTTCAATCACTGGATGTGACGCGTCACCTGGGGTTTCGGGATGCCGTAATAAGCCAGACTGCCGTCTTCAGCTCCTCGTCTCGGCGTTTTGCTATGGTTTTTACCACCCGCGCGCGCTCGGCTTATCCGACTTGGCGTCCGGCGCAGACTAGATGTTGCGAGTCGCGACCCTGCGACTGCCGCATCGGCTATAGGAATAAATGATGCCCTTGAACATTACCTGTTCAGATAGACTGCTGGTGGGCCTCGCGTCGTAATACTTAGGGACTTCATACCACGAATGTCGGAGCGTCTTCTCTTTTGTCATACAAGGACAGTGCTTGAGGACAAGAAGGGTTGACGGAGACTGCGAGAGATGTGGACTATAAATGGAGCCATGCGCCTACGTAGAAGATGTCAGGAATCTCTACACATTCCCACTGGCTGGCCATACTCGCTCTTTCATTCATATACTCCCATCTGACTAAAGTCATTCATTGATTTCATTTTCTTATATTTTTCTGGTACGATGAGATTCATCTCATTTGCCGTAACGGCAGCCTTGCTTGGCTTGACAAGCGCCACGAATCCTTCAACATCGGGTCTACTCAAGGCCAATGGTGGTAAGTAGACTGGCCATGTATCATGATTCTTGGAAGCATGCTAAACAACGAATAGTAACGCTGGGTGACTGGGAGGCTGCATATGAAAAGGCATCTGCCTTCGTTGCAGGACTGACTACTGATCAGAAGCTGGCTTTGATCACCGGTAGCAGTGTTAGCTCGTCCAATGGCAACTTCAGTGCCCTAGAGTTCCTTGATGGGGATATGGGTCTTCAGAACTATTTCTTTGTCTCTGCTTTCAGCTTGTCCTCCGCTTTGGCTATGACTTGGGACCGCGACGCCATCTATGCTCAAGCCAAAGCAGTTGGGTCGGAGTTCTACAACAAAGGCATTCAGGTGGTTGCTGGTCCTACTTCTCAGCCAATGGGTCGTACTCCTTGGGGTGGTCGTAATGTCGAGGGATTCGGCCCTGATCCCTATCTAAATGGCCTGGCTACTGGCCTGTCTACCAAGGGTTATGTCGATGCTGGAGTGATCCCCGGTGGCAAAGTAAGATGATCCATGGACAATGTAACTATGGGCTTGCTGACTCTAACTGCGCCATTTGCTAGCACTTTCTTCTTTACGAGCAAGAAACCAACCGGACTTCCAGTGGCGGCGGCGGCGGCGGTGGTGGTGGTGGTGGTGGTGGTGGTGGTGGCCCCGGTGGTGCAAGTGGAGGAGGAATGCCTCCCGGGGGAATGGGCTTTGGTGGTTCCAACTCTTCATCGCCTGGGCCCCAGCCTTCCGGTTCATTCAGTCGGCGTGCTACTGTCTCCTCGGACTCCGACTCGGCACCCTATTCCTCCAACGCAGACGACAAAACCTTGCACGAAACATACCTCTGGCCATTCTACGATGCAGTGAAGAATGGTCTTGGCGCCGTCATGTGCGCAATGACCAAAGTCAATGGCACTTACAGCTGCGAAAACTCGGATCTCCTGATGAAGACGCTCAAGACAGAGCTTGGCTTTCCGGGTCTGGTCTGGCCCGACATGAATGGGCAAAACAGCGCCGAAGGATCAGCATTAGGCGGCGAGGACTATGGCTCGAACAGCATCTGGAGCACTTCTACAATGAAGACTCTTCTGTCGAATGGTACCCTCACCGAGGCCCGTTTGAACGACATGACAATTAGAAACCTTATTGGGTATTACCATGTCAATCTGGACAACGGCCTTCAACCTGCGATGCAAGATCAGGATGCCTATGTGGACGTACGAGGCAATCATTCCAAGCTGATCCGCGAGAACGGAGCCAAGTCGATGGCTTTGCTGAAGAATGAAGGCACTCTTCCGTTGAAAAAGCCCCGTGTGATGAGTGTTTTTGGAGCCCATGCTGGCCCGGTCATGGGAGGTCCGAATGCTGCCATGAACGTCGAAGGGTCTGGCCCGACCTACCAAGGCCATTTGGCCACCGGCACAGGCTCTGGACAGGCATCTGTTCCTTACGTGATTACCCCTTACGTTGCCCTAACTATCAGAGCTGCGCAAGATGCAACTATGATGCGATGGATTATGAACGATACTTATAGCTCCAGTGGAGAATCCACGCTGATTCAAGAAGGAACTGACAGTACCGCCGTGTCTCCCTCCTATGCCAATTATGCTACCAACTCGGATGTCTGCCTCGTTTTCATCAATGCTCTGTCAGGTGAGGGTGCCGACCGCACTGAGCTGTATAACGAGGATCAAGACACCATGGTGAACACGGTTGCAGACAACTGTAATAATACCGTGGTTGTGGTCAACACCGTTGGGCCCAGACTGCTGGACCAGTGGATTGAACACGACAACGTGACGGCAGTTCTCTACGGATCTATTCTGGGCCAAGAGTCGGGCAACGCGATTGTGGACCTTCTCTATGGTGATGTGAACCCTTCTGGCCGTCTTATCCACACTATCGCCAAGAACGAGAGTGATTACAATGTGGAGCTCTGCTACACTGCTCGATGCAACTTTACTGAGGGTAAGTCGTCGTTGATCTTCGGGTATCGGTGCTCTTTGGCCTATAACGCTGACTGCATCCACAGGAGTCTACATTGACTACCGCTATTTCGACGCCAAGAACGTCACTCCCAGATACCCATTCGGCCATGGCCTTTCTTACACCACTTTCAAGTACTCGGATCTCGCCATCAAGACCCCTTCTGCCACGACCAAAGCTCCCCGAGGTAACCATACCGTCGGTGGAAACAGTGATCTATGGGACGTTGTGGGAACCGTCTCTGCGCGCATCACCAATAATGGCACGCTTGCAGGTGCGGAGGTTCCCCAGCTGTACCTTGGCTTCCCAGATGCCGCAGATCAACCTGTTCGTCAGCTCCGCGGATTTGAGCGTGTTGAACTACGGGCAGGACAGGAGTCTCTTGTTACGTTCAACCTGCGTCGTCGCGACATTTCATACTGGGACGTGGCTGCTCAGCAATGGCTTGTTGCTTCTGGGAAATACCAGGTCTATGTTGGAGCAAGCTCTCGCGACTTGAGATTGACGGGAGCATTCTCTTTGAGAGTGAAGGCTTAGTATGGCTTGCCATTGAACTAGCTTGTGCCCAACATCTTGCCTAACATCTTGTGATTATAGAGTGTTCCCAGAGGCTTTAGATAATTCAATAAACTGCTGTGATTCTGGATCAATTCACCTATAACCCTGATATTCAGTCGATTATGTGGTTCTCCAAGAACTTGCAACCACTGCGTGTCCCAAACTCAGCCCTGTGAATACAGTAGAACCATTCCCATTCTAAATTATCGATTCCCATGGCTATTGTCTTATTCACAACCACCAAGCCTGGATCAACCTCTTCACCCATTTCGCTTCCGCCGCAATCACCAATCTTTTCTCAAAACTGTGCGATCTCCTTCTCCTCTTCCTCTCTTCCATCTTCCAAGTCTCCCATCTACCAAGCTTCATTTCTTCTATCTTTCCTTCCAGCTTTCCATCCTCCATCTTCATCATCCTTTCTTCTCTCTCTACTATACTCACGGCCACGCACCATGTTATGCAGCAATAACTTATCATCTAGACGAAGATCTTGATTCGGAAGCCCTCTGAGCGCCAGAGAGACAGTTCATATCCGATCTGCTTCTCTACTCAGTGGCCAGCACCCATGAGGAAGCCCAATAGGCTCGTAGTAATCACACACTGGAACAACTACCCCAAACATACATTTGTGGTATTCATCAACCATAAACCGGCGTCTAAATCCTCAAGCATCAATTTTGACGCAGTGAGCGTCATTCAAACCTATTATACTGCATGGCTCTAACTCATGCCACAGGAAAGAAAGCTTGGATCGATGCAGTAGTGCGGCCGCGGATATCAACCCATAATCACAGGGAAAACAAGCTATCGAGCACTGAATTCAGAGCCGATATCCCACGAAGCTCGTCAGCGTTTTGCACAGGCCATCGGTATACCTGTCCGCGTCGGACCCATCGAAGTCTCAAGGACTGCAATGGAGACTTCGCAACGCTCCAGGACCGCTTGCAGAAGGGGGACACAGACCAGTACCTTGCATACAAGCATGTCTCGCCCGTGTCTCTCCTCTGTTCCTCCAGCACCCCCCTGGTATCCTCGGTTGCTCTGTCATTGCTTCGCCAAACCCTGGCGACGCTTAGAGTGAGTTCAATCAACATCATGCGTGGGCTTGACTGACTTAACAGCTTTATAGGCATGTTGGGCAGGTGCATGATAGTAGTTTCGTTGAGAACCTCATAAGAGAAATGGTCACGGTCGAACGCGCTGAGCTACCACACGTTCATGGGTGATCACCCACCAGAAGGATTATACGGAGCTCTATCCGGGGAACCCGCAGTGTCGAATCCTATTTACCCCTCCATCCCTGTGCCAGAGCATCCCGATGAAGTTGCTGATTCGGTGTGTGGCCGTAGATTCGGAAATCGAACGGAGCGACGGAGCGGCCTTACGCTTGGGCAGCTTTTGTGTCTGCATTGAGATGTATGGAAAGTTTCTATACGGGTCCCTGCCGTTCCGCAGGCGGAGCAAGAGTCAAAGTCCGAGAGATGGCAATGGAGGGATGATTCCTACTATCTCGGACGCCTCCATCTGCAGAGCCAAAGGTCTTCATGAAGAAACTAAGACCTATCCGATGCAAATTACCGAACGCAATGCTGACCCCTTCAAGCGATCCCTTTCGAACGGGATGGAGGTTGCAGCTGCGTGATTTGGCTTTTAACGTACTTCCTCACTGCGCGAGAGTGCCACAAACTTCAAACAAAATGATGCAGCGGCCTTCGTTGCTCGGCTGACCTTCTGGACACCTGAAACAACATCAGTCCTCCCTCGGGGATTTCGTTTCTGCAGCACTAGGTGCTATGGAAAATCGAAGCCTGGTTATGATTTGCGATGGGATGATGAACATGGCTCAACCACATGAAAGCCTGTAAGAATTTCCACTAGAAGTGGAACCTATCAACATTCTACCACTGCTGCACTGCTACATGGCTGTTGAACAGGTTGCAATTCAAACCCGAAAACTCCATCGAATTGGCAATGGTACAGCTTCTAAGCTTTGAGCCGTGCATGATTCTGTACAACGGCGCAGGGATTAGCGACCGGTTGTGGTCCTTTTGCAACCCCTGCGAAGTTGTACCTGCATGTATATCATGGACTCGGCGAGTCTCATACGATCATCTCCACAGTTCCGTCTGCCTCGGCATCTGGCCTTGCTTCTTATGGCTGCCAATGAACAGGGCAGCCAGAGGTCTGCATGATGTATAGGAGTCTATGCTCTCGAGGATAAGGTTACTATGCAACGCTGCAGCAATGCACTACTCCTATATACCCCGGGAACCATTATGACGGCCAAGCAGCCTGCACAAAGCGCACATCTTGGCTAATGTCCACAATCGATCGATAGCGATGTACAGATGAAGCACTGAGCCCTTGCCAGGAGACAAGCTGGCAGTTTACTGGAGTACAGCTCAACCGGGTTCGAAAGTCTTCAACTTACTGATTGTGTGACACTTACAGTAGTACACTTTAAGCTGGCTTTTCGCGCGACGAACTTCTGACATTGGACACAAGATGTGAGGGGTTTGAGAACTCCAGTATTTCTAGGATGCGCATTCATGCGAACACATTATTCATCTTGCGCAGAATGGACATCACCCATATGAGCAAGCAGTGCGACCACTGCTGGCTTAGAATTCCGCAACACTAACTTTTCACCTCCACGCTGGTGATGGCGTGGAACGAGAGTCATACACACACCAGAGGGCCAGATACACGGCAAATGTGCTTCACAACCATAATGTGATGGGCCGTTGGCAGAAGGTGGTAATCATCGAAGCCAAACGGTTTCCGCGTAAGAGTATGCCTGGCTGGGAGGGACATTTCCAGTGTTTGATTAGATAGATAATTCCCAATGATATCTCCTTCACCTGTTCCACAAGTCTTATACCATCTAGCCCTAGACCTAGACTAGACACCAAGCACATACCACACCCACCATAACCACCATCCACCCCTCCTCCCCCGAACCCAATCAAGGCACCCCCCTCCCCTTCCGCACAGCCCTCGCCAACTCACTCTGCGCCTTATCCTCCGCATAGCGCCGATAAATCGGCAAATACCAGTCCCTCTCACTCAGCGTCTCCCTCACACTCCTCCTCCCCTCCACAGCCGCCACCCACCGCCGCCACCGCTCCCACACCCCTTCCTCCTCCTCACTCCCCGCCTGCCCCGGCGCCGGAACCCCCAACCCCCCCTTAAACTCATCAAACACCCACAACCGAACCGCCCACGGCGCGAGTACCACATCCACCAGACTCAACTCCTCGCCCAGGAAGTACGGGCCCTGCGGGTGCAGCTCCCGCGTGAATTCCTTCAGCGTGGCTAGAAACTCCGCGCGGAGGGTCTGGAGCTCATCCTCCCCTGTATTACCCCCCTGGGACGAGGAGGGCAGGGGCTGATGCTGGAGGAAGCGGTGGAATGCGGGGATGATGCGGGAGGTGACGTAGTCGATCCAGATGCGGGCGCGGGCGCGGAGGTACGGGTCCTGCGGGAGGAGGGCGGGCGTGTGCGTCGGGTAGGCTTCTTCGAGGTATTCGAGGATGACGGTGGACTCGTAGAGCGGGCGCGCAGTGGAGGAGGTATCCGGGGAGGTGATGGTCGGGACGAGGCCGCGCGGGTTCAGGGCGAGGAAGGAGGGTTGTTTGTGGTAGGGGTTCACTTCGATGTATTGGTACGGGATCTGTTTCTCTTCGAGGGCGAGCCAGACGCGTTGGACTGGGGGTTTTTGTTTAGTTTGGGTATTGGGGTTGGGGAGTAGGATGGTGGGTGGGTGGGTGAATACCGAAGCTGGGAGGCGTGAGTTAGTGTATTGGCAGTATAGATAGATAAGGTAGTCTAGACGGAGAGACTCACGGACAGAACCACCCCGCATAGAACTTCAGGGGCTGTTCGGCTTGGTGGTTGGCGACTAGAGCTTTGGCGGGGCCAGTGGCCTCGGGGTGGATATCGGCATCGGGGACTGGCATGTTGACGAGGGGAATAATCTCAATTCAATTGGGGGATTGATGGTTATGGTTGGAAGATGCAGAATGCAAGGTCAAGGAGGAGAAGAGGGGAATAAATAATGACAATCGATGGTGTCATCAGATAAGATTATTAATCCAGAACTATAGCTTGATAGCTGAGCTACAGAGTCATTGTCAATTACAGCCATCACTCAATCTCCCTCCTAACTCAATTGCCTCAATCACCTCATTCAGCCATATTTCTTCAGCAACTTCTCCATAATCGACACAGCCCCCGACCGATACCCCGCCCCAAAGATCGCATGATGATTCAGATGATGATACCTGTAGCAAGTCAGCCCTATCCAATCCCATTGATCAGCACGTAGGCAGAAGAACATACAACTCATACAACCTCACCCGATCCTCATACTCCTCCACCGGCTCCGTCTTCGGCACCAACCTGTGATACTCCTCAAAGAACTTGGCTCCAAACCCACCGAACATCCGCATAATCCCCAGCTCAAACTCGCTGTGCGCATAGCACGCCGAGGGATCATAGACCACATCCCCGGCCTTGTCGCTTTCAAGTCCACCCGCAATCCTCCCCCTCCCCGCATTCCCACTCCACAGATCCCCATGCACCACCACAGGCACAATCCCCTCCCCAACCCCCAAATGCCCCCTCCCCAACAGCCGGGGCACGACCGTCCCCGCCGTCCGCTCAACCAACTCCCGTAACCCGCCGTCCCGCCCATTCCGCCGCTCCGAGCTCTCAAGAATCGTGCGCAGCCGCTCATCCGCGTAGAACTCCGCCCAGTCATCGCAGAACCGGTTCGGCTGCTTCGTGTCCCCGCAGAATGTCGGCACGGGGAATCCAAACCGTCGTCGCCGGGTCTCCGGGTCCGGTGGGGCGGGCGTGGAGTGGAGTTGGGCGAGTCGGTGTGCGAGGGTAAAGGAAGAATCATTCGTGCGACGACCGCTGCCGCCGAGTTCGAGGTACTCAGTTAGGAGGTAGTAGCTCTTTTTCTTGGGGGGTGAGGTGGATGAGTCGTTGTCGGCAGCGTCGTCGTCGTCGTCGTCGTCGTCGTCCAGGCTCCCCCACGCTAATGCCAGTGGGCAGAAGCCCGGCACGCTCGAGGCGATAGCATTCAGGGACTCGTACTCCCCGCGGAACATCTCTGCCGCGGAGGTGCCATCGGCGGAGGTCTTGACGAAGTAGCGGCGCTCTTCGTCGCGGCCGTCTGGGCCGGGCACCGTGGCGCGGATGGCGCCGGTGCTGGTGAAGCCGGAGCCTAGGCCGGTGGTGGACAGGCTGGCTTTGGCGGGGTCCGTGATGGAAAGAGCCCTGAGAATTGAGATGGGAATGGGTGCCATGATGAGGATTTGAATCGGATTTAGAGAGGTTGTGTGAAAGTGAGGAGAGAACTGAGTGAGGGGAACAAGAGCAAATAAATTGGGTGATGGAGCAGCAATGACGTCGATTGTTTATCTTATCGCGATAAGATAAGGCATGGCTCGAGTCAGAACTCCGTACACAGGATAAATCATTTGCGCTCAATCCTACATACACAGCAAGCCTAACATGACAGTACAGCACCAACTGTAGTGCGAGTATAATTGTAGCTACAGATCTACATCGTCATCACTTCCAGATCTTTATTCATCAAGGTCCCATCCAACGCCGCCTACCGCAACCGCAGCATCCCACTGTCCAACAGAATCATCGCTATGCATGGGTCAAGGAATTCAGCATATCCTGGGCCGTTTTGGTTCTCTCGCGCACATCCAAGTCGGGATCATCATCCAGACTGGCCAACCGATCCATCACTCCCATCGTCCGCATCCGGATCGCTCGATCGCGACATCCGTCCCGGTCGCTCGAATCATCCTGATACACCAGGTTGATCACCACCCACACACAGTTGATCCGTACATCCCGTTGGCTGTGGTTGAAGTATGTCATCAGATACTTCAACAGATCCCGGTGCATCTGAAGCAGTTGTCGGTGTCGCGGTAGGCCTGCCGCCAGATGGATGATCACGTACGTCACCGACACCAATATCTCCGTCGGTACGGACATCGTCCGCGAGGTCGGTACATCTCGTCGAGGCGGGAGGGAGATGGAACGCGGCCGCAGCTTGTCTGCCAGCGCATCCAGAAGCAGATCCTGCCCAATCTCCTTGAACAAATGGTCGATCATCTCAAACGCACCGGGCCCGCAGATGATGTTGCGCAGTAGGTCAAAGGTTTGTTCCTGGACCGCAATATCGTCCTGTCGAGCCCGCGTCGTCTGGTCCAAATCGCCTTGCAAAGTCAACTTGCGTCGCCGGGTGGCATCCGGAATGAACATGTCGAGACTGATTTTGTGCGAGGGCACCGTATCGGCCATTTTCATATCCTCGTCCCCACCGCTCTCCACCGGGTTCAACAGGTCTACCTGCTCTCCAGCCGAGTTGGCTCGGCTCATGCCCGCGCTGGTGCTGCTGTCCGCCTCCTCGTCCATTCCGCGCTTGGCTAAAGCAGTGGTAGGATCCTGGGTGATGACCTGTTTGATCCATTCCGCACCCAGTCCTTCTATGATCTTTATCTTTACATCATTGGTCGAGTTATATGCAACATGCTTCAGGGCCCACAGCGATTCTATCCGCAACTTTGTGCTTTGGGAATGAGCATGTTCACACAGAATGGGAAGAACATCGGCCGAGATGATTGCCTATGCGCGGATAAAAATTAGTGCACGAGAAAGAGCCGAATGATCAATTGACTGACCTCTTTCATTGGACTGAAGTCCAAAGCCAGGTTGCAAATGACCTGCGTCGCTGCAATCTGGACCTCAATGTCGGGGTGTTTAATCAAGACAAACAAGGGCGTCGCGACGCCCGCATCAATCAGACTCGTGCGGAGGACACTCACCGAACGAGTGAGCATGCGTGCGGCCCCGCAGGCTGCCAGCAGGGTGGGTGTGGGGTTGCCATCGGCCACAGTGTTCTTTGGAGTCGACGTGTCCCCCGACAATTCGTCTGAGCACGGCTTGAGAGAGTCGATAATGTATGGCACCACCCCGTTCTCACAAACGGCTTTGCGATATTCGTCCTTGAAGGGAACCAAAGCCGCCAAGGCTTTGAGGATGTTCTCACGATATCGCATGACATGGCAGTGGATCGGTGAAAAGCCCGGAGGACCGAGCTGACATTCTGGGGAGGTGGTGTCCGGGCCCAGCAGGCCCTCTTCACCGTCCGCATGCCACATGGGGCGGATGGTGTCTTGAACTGGGTTGTAGGTTTCTTTCAACAGCTGCGACAACCTCTTGATAGCGCCTCCCTCATAAGCATGTCTCTGCAGTTCGTGATCATCAATCACTAATAACGCCAGCACGAACGGGGCTTCTTCTCTGAGACGCTCGGATGAAGGAATCAAGCCCCCATATTGCACCCCGTCATCGGCGGTCACTTCATAATCCTTATCCAGCATGCGAATCAAAATAGGAATCATCAGGTAACATAGCATAGATACGCGATGCTTCTTTGTAAGGCCAAGACGGAACAGAACTGTGGCAAGACGTGCCGCCATCAATCGCACCATCCCGCTCTCGCTACGGACAATGTACAAAAGCCATGGCACGACCGCATTCTCTTCGTCCTCGGCAGAAGGCATTTCGAAGCTAGGGAGCGGGGTCGGAAACGAGTGGCTGTGTCGGCGATGTGTGGTACCCTGGTGGCCAAGGGGAGGAAAATTGGAGGTGCTGGGAGAGGCCTTGTTCTGCGCCAGCGGCACCGATGGCAGTAGATACTCCAACGGGCTGGCACCTGCATGTCGGGGTACAGCCGAGCCCGACAGGTAGGTCGCACCCCATGGTCCTCGCTTGATGTCCCACGGAGCAAATTCGGCCAATTGCTTGGGGAACACAGTCAGGATCCCCGGCGAAGAGAGAAAATGCTCCGCGCGCCACTTAGAATGCTCCACAATGACGGTAACAGCGCGGAGGATAGGCGCCAGTTTTGCGCTCGGGGGTGCCGGGGGCGGTAGGAACCCCAGAGCTCCAGGCTCTTGAACATGCTCCTCAGCACCAGGATAGACAAATCCCTGCGCGACCACGAACGAGGCAACTTTCACCGCCAAGGCATCCAGTACTCCGCACTCAGCCAAGACCGCCTTGTGAGATTCCTCCGTACACAACTTCCCGATGAGGGATGCGGCGAGCTCAATTGCTGCTTGATCGTGGTGGTTGCCGTAGTCGCGACCTATGATGCGAGCGAAGCAGCCAATATACTCGCTGGAGAAGACGAGATCGGCCAAACGGGTATCTTTAAAAGATCGTTTTTGGCTTTGTAGCGGTAGTCGGTCGGCAACGTTATTCAATGTTCGAAGTATCGGATGAATATAGAACGTCGGGCAGTCAGGCTTGGACAGTATGGATAGGAGGGTCGAGAGTATGCCGCTGGCAAGGATAGGGGACAGAAAAGAGGCACCGCCTGTGTCGAGACCAAATCAGTCACTGCATGCAACACTCTCGGAATACCAGTACCTTGTGCTAAGCTCCCCATGATGACGATCGCTTGTAAGCATGTTTCATCGTCCTCGGACTGAGGACAACGAAGCTTCGCGGCTCCGTTGACTTCTGCTGTAACAATATCCTTGCCATGGCGGGCTGCGAGAATATTGGCTAGTACGGGGATGATCCCCCACCGCACCCAGGCCTCTTTCCGCTGGTTATGGCCTATCGTCTCATTCTTTAAGCTTCGCAAAGCCGCCGCCTGTGCTGGTAAAGAGTCCGCTGTCTGGAGTTGAAGCAGCAGCGGAGGCGCTGAAGCGCGGGTCATGGTCCGAAGTCGCCGCCTCCCGCGGGAGGGCCGTGGAATCGATTACGTCGAGGAACAGGAGGAGCGCTGATTGCGCCGAAAAACAATGGGGGGAGAGACACAGATATAGAATTTAACCAGACACTTTTCAATTCAATTTGATGTAGTCTTCCCCTCACAACGAGAAAGTAGCTTTGACGATCAGCTAGTTGGCAACGATGGTTGAATGACAATGGAATGGATGGAGGATGAAATGATAACTGGTCAAGGTCACGGCGGCGAATACCCTCGGCGACTGGGGGACTGGGGAGGGGTCCAGAAGTGCGACTCGTGAAGCACCACCAACCAAGCAAAGCAAGGTCCGATGAACAAGTGTTTCGAAGACAGATGAAAAACGGGAACCACAAGCAACCAGAAATTGATCTCACAACGACCAGCTCCAAATGATTGAGTGGTTGATGCAGCTGTCCACGGTCGATAGCTCGCTGTCCGTTGCCGGCCGCTGACCGCTTTCGGTGTCTTATCAGGTGATGTCACCTGATTGGCATCCGACTGGGCTGTACTCGACATAGCTGACTCAGCCTAGTATTAAGATGTGAATGTGAGTACCTTATGTACAATACAGTCATGTGATTCAGCCCTACCGTCGATTATCGGCGTCGAGGAGACCCATAGTCTACCTCTCTCGCGCAATTCTGGTGTTGCAATATCATGTTACGAGACACTGAGGCTTGTGTAGCAACAGAGCCAATTGTATACAGCCATTGCTCAACCACGAATTGAGTTTGAGCTCGGTGTTCCCACGAGGTCCAGGTCGGTCAACCCGAAAGAGGGAGCAAGAAATGTGTAACCCCAAAAGTTGAACCCGGGAGGGTTGGGGTTGGAGACCATCTCGGAGTTAAAGTGAGTGGGTGTGTGAATCCAGACCGCTCACTCGTATGGGTAAAAGCAAAGATTCGAAGCGCATGATCACCAGTTGACAGCTGACTTGGGCTATAAAGGGTAGACCATGGGAAAGAGTGTCTTTTCCTAGTTACCGGGACGAATCCCTCTCTCATCAATGGACACCATCATGAAGAAGCTGGAGGATACATCCATAGACCCCTGCCAATAGGCAAAGGGTCAGGTTCCTTGCTTACGCCAACCCCGAGATCCTTGACTATCTCCAATGAATTCAATCCTAATCAATCCATTAGCCGCACTGCGCGCTCCGTACGGGGCGGGGCGAATGTATCGAATTATCGATGGTGGCTCCTGTGTAATACGCTACGGACGGTGGTGCCGACAAACCCGTATGACTGGTATTCACCTGGACACTAATTGATTCTAATTGGTGGCTTGGACCCCCTTGACAAGCAAAAGACTGGAGGGAGATAGGAATTTCTCTCCACATGGAAGCAGTGTGGTATTGGTAATTACCCGTAAGGTGTCGTGATAAAGTCGCAGGACAAGTAAAGAAAAAAAAAAAAAAAAAACTCGAATGGAACTTGGCATTGTACTAGGTACGGTACTAGTACGTAGTGTACGGACTACGGAGTAGTTCCCCCTCTTTGTTCGAGTTCCCTGATCAGCGTCATTGTTTTATTTTTCGTTTCTCCTCTTCCTCCTCCTCCTTTTCTCCTCTTCTTCTCACCTCCACTTTTCTTCTACCCTTATCTTACTCAGTACAGTATCTTTGTTGTGTACGGCTTCTTCCTCTTTTGCGCCCAAAAGAGTTGAAGTTCTCCTTCCCCTATCCATTCCCCACAGATCACAATGTGTCTGTGCACGCCGCCCTTGCCTCTCGCCGCAGCACAAGGTTTCGCAGCGTCTGCCAGCTTCGTTGCACGTCGTCTAGTCGTGCGCCCACGTGGTGGTCTCGTTGGGCGGAGATGCTAGTTTCATCGCCTTCACCTTCCGCCGCCTTGCGCCCATCTCCCGCCTCTCCTCACACACACCATCCTCATCCTCCTCATCCTCCCCATCCTCCATCTGCTCCTCATTCTTCGCATTCCCAACCTTCCATCCCTTTATCCTCCTCCTCGGCGGTTTCCTCCTCCTCTCCCCGTCCGCATTCTCGTCGCCCTTCGACCACGACGACCTCCATTCCTTCACATGACCAGTATGAGCCCTCCGGGCCCGTTCCTGCTGCCTCGTCCAGACATCGTTTCGATCTCCATTCTTCCCGCGCCGCCATTGAAGAGCTGCGATCAGCTCTAAAGCGGCACACCGTTGGTCATTTCCCTTCGGGGCCCTCAGGGGATCTGCCTCGCGGTCGGATGTCCGCCGGGCTGACCTCCTCTGGGGGCGGAAGTAGCATCACGTCTGACGCCGCCATTCCCGCCTCCCACCAGCACAGTCACCATCACCCTCACCCTACTGCTCCTTCGCAAACGTCTGTTCCTGCAGCCGCCGCCACCGCTGCCGCTTCTTCCGCCCCTGCCCCTGCCCCTGTCTCCTATTCAACCGCTACGCCTCCCATGCCGGCTCCCAGCAGCGTTGGTTCAGGGTCCAATAAGCGTAACAGCCCCAACGGCCCGACCAACGATGGGACGCGGCCCGGTGCGATGGGCCATGCAGACCTGGAAGGCTCTCAGAGCAAACGGTTACGCCCGGAAAAGCCCGTTGTGAAGTTGCTGCCGGCCCAGTACGAGCTGGCTGATGCTCGGGATCTAGTGGTGTTAATCTCCAGCATGCTGATGGAACTGATCCGATTCAACGATAAAATCCCCCTTCATCAAGGCCGGCTGACCCGCTTTCACTCTCGCACGCCACCCCGCATCTCCGTTCATGACTACTTGCAACGGCTCACGACCCACGCCACACTCTCGCCCCCGATCCTGCTCAGCATGGTATACTATATCGATCGGCTCTGTGCCATGTATCCCGCCTTCACGGTTTCCAGTCTGACAATCCATCGGTTCTTGATTACCAGCGCTACAGTGGCCAGCAAGGGTTTGAGCGACAGTTTCTGGACCAACAAGACCTACGCACGGGTTGGGGGCATCAGCATGACCGAGTTGGCACTGCTGGAGCTGGAGTTTCTCTTCCGCGTCGAATGGCGCATTGTTCCCGAACCGGAAGTGCTCGTGGACTATTACCAGAGCCTGGTAGAGCGCTGCGATGGGTATGCAATTCAACGGGATAGTTGAATTGTGCATGTCCTGGGTATTTTTATTTTTTCAAACACTTTCCTCTTATATGGCTCCCTGAATTTGAGTCTCGGAGAGCAGCCCGCACGGGGGCGTAATCGCGGACGTTTCATCAGTGTCTGTACTAGTACATACATACACATACATGGGGCTTGGAGTTGATGTTGTTTTTGTGCATGGATACGACGGCGATCAAGTGATTTATATCCATACGGCTTGTTTACTTTTCCTTTCAAGTGTTCTTCCTGCGCTTTGCCTTCTCTTGTTCATCCGAATTATAACTATTGTACAGCCCGCATTTCCGGATTTGAGTCCGAATTCTCACACTCTACATGTGTGTCGTGTCTATGTAGTCAATCGAACTCTGGATACGTACTTCGAATAGAACCATACTTAAAGTGGTTGGCGTTGCATGACGTCTACGATTCATCAAGTCTGCACTAAACTGTACTGGTACAACGTAGGGCTTAGGGTACAGGGCTCAGGGTTGCGGAGGCTTCCATCCATGGAAAACCATCTTTGCGGTTCAGACCTCAATGGTACTATCAGGCAGAGGCTCAGTCTGCACTGGCTATACCTGGTTGCTCACCCAAGCGCAAGGCATGAGTCGTCTTTATACATATAGAATTGATTCCTCACTTCCGATTTGCTCGACATCTCTATGCTAAAACTGCAGTCTCTCACGACAAGTCTATACAATTCTGATTACTCTCACGATGGATGCGGAGAACATCCTGCGCGAGGTTCAACCCCTCGTGGGCGAAGTGGTTCCCATTCGCTCCGTACAGGAGACTCGCCCAGTTGAAGACTACGGTACGTCTGCAGGTGAATCAGGTTTCGCTCAATCAGCTCACGATTTCGGCCAGCGGACGCGTACGTCGCTGAAGTCAACGTCAAGACCGCGTCGAAAGTCATCAAGTCAGTTTCCCCCTTCCTCATTCCTGCTAGCTTCCTTTCTATCTGCAACAATAACAAAAACAATCACTGACCAGTAAAAATAGAGCCCTCGACTCCGCCTTCCCCCGCGACTCCTCCCACCCCCTAAATCACCTCCGCCGCTTCGCCAAGCACAACCAGATCCCCGAGTCACTCCGCCCCGCCCTTCTCAAGGAAGGCTACCTCCCCTCGCAAACCATCTTCGTCCTCGTTCCGTCTCCACTCCCAGCTCCAGAGGCCCTACAGACCCTCCTGGCCCCCTTCGTACCGCCGCCCCGAGAAACCCCGCTCCCCCAAACCCCCACCGCCGATCCCTCTTTGCCATCCACCCCAGCACCACCACCCGCAGCCGCCGAAACCACCACCCCTGCGACCAGCAACATCACCCTCCACACGATAACCGTCCCAATGCAACCCCCCTTGACCCCCACACAAGCCGAGCACTGGTCCTCCAAAATGTGGCCCGTAGTCTTCAACCCCGCCGCGCCGCGCGCGCTGATCGCCCCACCACCCCAGATCCTCTCCCGAGTCCGCGACGCCATCGCCCCGAAAGCCGGCCGCTACTTGGCTCTAGCGCAGGCCGTCGCCGCCCAGGCGGAGCGAAGCGGTCTCGGCCGCGGGGTGGGCGCCGTGGTCGTGGACCCGGAACTGGAACCCGTCCCCGAGGATTCGACTGAAGGCGCCGAAGAAGGAAGCAGCTGGACTGACGCGATCGTGGCCGTCGCCGGAGACGGCCGGTACTCCCGGCGGGAGGGGGGCAACCCCGCGCAGGCGGAGATCGCGGGCGGCAGCGGGCCGAGTCCGCATTGCGGGACGTACAATGCCGACTGGGAGGGGGGTCCGGAGCTGCATGCGCTGATGCGGGCGGTGGAGTTGATCTCGAGCAAGCGGCGGGAGGACAAGCCGGGTTCTCGACGGCAGAAGATCCGACCCGTGTTGTACGGGCTAGAGGAGTACTTTCTCCGGAAGTCGGATGTTCCGCTCTCCTCCGCGGAGACGGGGGCGGGAGTGGCAGAGGAGGAGACTGAGGATGCGGTTGCGCCGCCGCCGGAGAAGTATCAGAAGACTACCGAGACAG